AAATGATTTATTGATTCAATCGTTTCATTCAAAACACTATAATTTGTATTCAAAATACATTGCATTTTGTCTATCGTTTCGCAGAAAACCTTCATTTCATTGAATTTATTCATCATTTGATTGAAATCCAAGTCTTCTATCACTTGAGCCCACGTTTGGCTGCCGTTGTCTTCGGTGGCCATCGACTGGTCGTTACCCAACGTATCCATTGTCTCAACACTTTCTGAGACACCATTGGAGTCACCACTGGATTCACTACTCATCTCAGTATTCATTTCACTCATTGAAACACTGGTTAATTGTAAACACAATTTATTAATTAATTCAAACACTATTTAATGACTCAAAACCTAATGAAAACCAAAACACAAAATGAAAACTTTTGCCGCAATTTATAGACAAAAAGTTTGAAAGCATTGTTTTGAACACAAAATGTGTTGTAATTTACAGTTCAGTCAAAATATTCACAAAACAAATGCAACAAAAGTGACAATAATTTTAATGATAACAAAATTAAAAATAATTTAATATTTGGAATAAAAATTAAATTAAATGTCATTTAAAATTATATTTATTACAAAAACGAAACAATTTAATATTATTTAATTTAATTTGTATTTACTGTAAGTTTTAAAGTATGATTAAAGTATGTAAAACTCATGATAAAAGTGTGTTACGGTTTACAATGCATTTATAGAACCCCTAAAGTTGTGCTCAATTATAATACACACCATTCACTCCACACTCACACAAATCGCGTAACGTATTGTATGAATGGCTGCAAACCCTCTGCTTATTGGTCGATGAAATTCCCTAAATATGACACAATATTTCCCATCAAAAGTGTATGAGTTTTAGAAATACAGAAATATTGTATTTAGGAAATTTAAAAAAATTTTCCCAAACATTGGGAACAAAATATGGGAATAAAAATTACACAAACTTTATATAATTAGTGGTTTGAGTCAATCTTTAAAATACACGTGTTTTGCTTTTAATCATTAGTTTTGTTGTAATTTTGGTTTAAATATTAAATTAGGTTTACTTTAAATCACATAAAGAAGTGTTGAGTCCGGAAGTGAAGTGACGGACAGTTTATGTATTGATTGATACAATTGTGTTGATTGAATAGTGAGGAGTGAAGTGGTGTTTGTGTGGACACAAGTGTTGAGACAATGGATATGTTGGGTAACGACGAGTCGATGGCCACCGAAGACAACGACAGCCAAACGTGGCATCAAATCAATCAAATCAAACACAAAGACATGGGTTTAAGCGAAATGATTACTAAATTGAATGAAATTAATATTTTTAGCAAAACAATAGACAAAATGCAATACATTTTGGATACAAATAATAGTGTTTTGTGTGAAAACGTTCAATTATTCAATCATTTTTATACACATTTTAATCAAACTATTATTGATTGCAAAACATTGAAAATCAGTGATAATATCATTGATATTAATAACATTTACAATAATAGTAAGTATTTTCACTGTCTTAGCACTGATTGTGAATTTAAAGCATTAAAGAAAAGCGATTTAGAAAGACATCAATTAATTCATTCAAATATAAGACGATTTAAATGTGATTTCAATGATTGTAATAAAAGTTATAAATGGAAATCAGAGTTAATTCAACACAAAAACAGTATTCATTTAAATATGAAATTTATTTGTGATTTTAAAAACTGTGGCAAAAGTTTTACAACAAAAGGGCATTTATTTCAACACAAAAGTTGTGTTCATTTGAATGAAACGAAATTCAAATGCAATGAAGAAAATTGTGACAAACGTTTCACAAAAAATACACACCTAATTGCACACAAACGCATTCATTCGGGAGAAAAACCATTTATTTGCGATATTAATGATTGTAATAAAAGTTTTGCGCAAAAATCAAATTTAATTCAACACAAATGTTGTGTTCATTTAAAGGCAAAACAATTTCATTGTGAAGAAGAAAATTGTGGCAAACGTTTCACAACAAATCAACACTTAATTGCACACAAAAGTTGTATTCATTTAAATGAAAAGCCATTTAAATGTGAAGAAGAAAATTGTGGCAAAAGTTTTAGTACAAAACACAATCTAAATGTTCACAAACTCGTTCATTCGGGTGAAAAACCATTTGTTTGTGACTTTGTTGATTGTAATCAAAGTTTTTCAACAAAAGGAAATTTAATTCGACATAAAAAAGGTTATCATTTGAAAGAAAAACGGTTCAAATGTGATGAACAAAATTGTGGCAAAAGTTTTGCTGAAAAAAGTTATCTAATAAAACATAAATCCAATCATTTGAGAAAATAATAAGTTTCAAATGTATTAAAGACTTTGAGCCAAATATTATTGAATGCAATTAAACGTTATATAAACCGTATTTATAATTTGGATTTTGATCTTTCATTTGGTTTTCAATTAAATTTATTTTATTAAATAAAATTTCGTTTCAATCGTTAAATGTTTAAAACAATAATTTTTAATTACTTGTATTTCGTATAAAATTGTTATTTTAAAAATAAATCAATGGAAAAATAAGTGCATTTGTTATAAATTATAACTTATAATCAAAGATTGAATGTTAAAAATCATTAATAATGCGAGCATTAAATAAAAAGGTGTTTTCTATACTTTTCATACAAATGTATACATTAAGTGCAACACATGTTAAAGTGTAAATAATGTACTGATATTTTACATTATATCATGTATAGATAATATACCATTATTTCATTATTTATATGTTCACCCTCGTGATTTATTACCATGATCAAATGAGATAAAAATAAGTAATTAATACAAGAGTGCAGTAATTAAAATAGAATTTTCAAAGTATATAAACTCGACGAATATAATGCAAAATTCATCACTAGTTTTAAATAACTATAAAATTAACAAATAGTTAATAAACTTTGAAAACAATGAATTGTTCAGTATTGGTATCATTGGCTTTGTGTAAGTTTTTCATAATAAATAAATAAATAATGCTCATGATCAATTTTGTCATTAAAAATATTAATTTCCAAACCCTTGAACACAGGCCTAACCGCCGCTCAATTGTCTTATGGAGCGAGTGTTGAAAAGAGGCATATAGTGGGAGATCTGATGCATTTACTCAACCCGTTTGGTCACTGCCAGAGCTCTCCCGTCAAAAGTGTTGGAGCCGTTGGAGACAAACCGAGTGTATTGAAGGTAGACATGGATCAGGTATTACAGGCCGACTGCGCCCACCCCTTGTCCCCCAACTATAAGCAAACTTTGCGCCGATTGGACGTCGATTTGAGACAATTCATGGTTTTGGATCCGACGAATC